GACATCTGAAGTGTATGTACAGTATATACAAAAGAGTCTCCAAGATAAAGATTCTGTGATCCTTAAATACTTTCCAAATGTCTCTGAAGGGATTTAACTTCACTAAAGAAATTTGACAGAGAAAAGCAATTTCTGGTTATACAGATTTCTTTTTGCCGTTTAACAGTGTTTAAATTGAATCACTGACCTAAACCACTCATTTTGAAAATTACTTCTAAAAAAATTTCAAAGTTGTGATGCTTTCAGTTTTGTTCTCTGAAGACAGCTGAATGACACAAAAATGTATCTTGCATTGTCTGCTTGTTCTAAATAATCCCTTTTAGTAGGATTAGTCACAGTATTAAATTAAGAGAAGGAGCAATTAATTATATTCTTATGAAAGGAAGAAGAGAAGAATCTCATTTTAGGTATACTAGCGGAAGGTATGGCCAAAATGAAAAGGAATGCCTGATTTATTACAAGAGCTGACAGTGGTTTTTAACAGGCACCTGTTCTCACCCCAAACAAATATTTTTGTGCTTAGATCTCTTTTTTGCAATGGTTTGTTTGGATGTTTAAAAAATTGGATGTGGTCCTACTTGTCCGCATCGCCATGGCATGATGTTGGTTTATATGATAATGATATAAGGTTCATTAAAGCCATTTTTGCAGTGAACTTAAGGGGGTTTTCTAGCTTTTGTTACAAGGGTTGAGTAATAGCTAAAAAGCTCTGAATATTCTTCTATGGAAAAAAGCATGAAGATAACCTTCTGGAAGAAATCATAGTAGGTAGACAGCTACAGAGGAGAGCAGTATAATAATAAGTATATATCACTAACTCTCTGATAAACTTGGAGGAAATGACCACAGATCATTAAGAGAGACTGCGAGGGCTGTGAGGACAGAAAACACAATATTGAGAAACCACCATTATCCATATGTAGGTTGTGTCAACGATACAGAGGGGCACGAAGCCTCTTGGAAAGATTAATCTGAAAACCTACAAAAGGGAAACAACTCTTATTAGTCTGAAATAGGGTGTCAGGCACACATCAGTAAGTAATTGTGCAAGAACCACATTCTCTCATTGAATTTAATGTGACCGTAATCAAACTTCCTGCTAGGAACAAAAATGGTTTAAAAAAATCCAGCACATAAAAGTTTACTACCAAAAAGGAAGAAACTCTTAGGGAAAATTGAAAGGGAAAGCCAGAAGGGTAAAATGCTAGCAGACGAGTGTGGAGAGGGCTGAAAGACTCAGTGTTGAACACTTAGTGTATGGCACCTATTAAAAGGCTGCTGTTCAACAAATTCCTATGTAGTTTGTAATTACAAATTAAATGAATAGGCTAGTGATAAAGTTTGCTGGTGACAAAGAGTTATTTGGGATTACTGACTGCAGAGATTTGCAAAAAGAATGTCTGATGAGAAACTAATGGCTGGGTGCAAAATTGCAGAGAAGTACTTGTGTATAAATGTTAGGTAATGTGCATAGAAAAATATAAGTGTACGGGCACAGTGGTACCCTCTATTCTTGTCCAGGAAAGAGATATTGAAGTCAGTATCAGGCTCATTTTCATTGCTTTGAGAAAATAATAGCTGAGTGTTCAGACTTGGTCAAAAAGTATTCAAATATTAAGAACAGAAATGAAAATCTAGAAGAATGGCAGAAGATAAATAGCTGGTGCATCCATATCTTGAATGCTGCATGAATTTCAGATTTTTTCCATCTCTGGAATGACATAGATGAACTTGTAAAGGTTCTTGCATGATCAAAGGTGTAAAGTGTTTGTGTGTGAGAATAGATTAATGGGCTAGGCCTCATTACCTAAGACAAGAGAGGATTGTCATAAAAGAAGTGTATATATCATACTGCTCCTAAGGGAGAGGGAGATAGCATCCTGGAACCCATAAATGATGTTAAATTAGTGAAAAAGGAGTAAATTTTCGTGGTTTCTTACAACAGGAGAACCACAGGGAAATATTTAAAATTGAACCATTTTTTCAAAAAATATATAAGTAAATTGCAGATTCCTTTGACATGTGAATTTGTGTAATCAGAAGTACAAGTGAGTTCAAGAACAGATCCATCACGGACTGTTAGACACAAACTCCAGCCTGTGGGTGAGACAGCAGGACATGAGGGGAGAGAGCATCTCCATTCTTCCCTTCTTTCTTTCCCGAACATCTGGTGCTGGCTGCTGCCACAGCCCCATGCTGGAGGGACGTTTGCTTCGACCCAGGATGAGTTTCATCTGCCCTGATGTTGCTTTCATCACTCACAAGGTTCTGGTTTTGTTGTAATTTAGGACAAAACTAACTTTCATTCAAAATACCACTCATTATGACAAATACACTTTTAAGCATCTGGACCTTTGTTTTATAGTTTTTGGATGATGGGAAATCACCTTAATATATGTTGAACAGCTGGTGAAAGATTGTTCTAGGAGTGTAGCACTGAAGGACTCCAGGGAGACCTTATTGCAGCCTTTCAGTGTTTAAAGGGGGCCTGTAAGAAAGATAGAGAGTATTTTTACCATGGCCTGTAGTGGCAGGACAGGGGCAACTGTTTAAAACTGAAAGGGTTTAGACTATGATTTAGACTAGATATTAGGAAGAAATTCTTTACTATGAGGGTGCTGAGACACTGGAACAGGTTGCCCAGGGAAGTTGTGGATGCCCCCTCCCTGGAAGTGTTCAAGGCCAGGTTGGACAGGGCTTTGGGCAGCCTGGGCTGGTGGGAGGTGTCCCTGCCCATGGCATTGGGGTTGGACTGGATGAGCTTTAAGGTCCCTTCCAACCCAAACCATCCTATGGTTCTATGAAATATCATCCCCAGTGCCATCTACTTGTCAATGTGAAAGGAGTTACAGGAGAAGCCGACTTGAACTGTTGTGACTGGAGGGAAGAGGAGCAGACCCATGTCACTGCTGGGCTGCAATCAGGCCCTCAGTGAGTGTCTGTGCCTCAGTTAACGTGAACGACTCCATCTCTGAAACAGCACCTTTACTGCACACTACAGATTGTTCAGGTTAAACACAGTTTCAACATACAAGAAATTTAATGTCAAGGAAAAATAAAATATTTCTATAAGCCTCCTGCTTTAGATGAATGTGGCTGTGCAGTGATCTTGAACCCTGACAGGTTTGACGTTGATTAAAAACAGTCATGTGCAATAATTTGTGTGATGATCTGTGATTTCTGGGTAGTGTGATGTTGCCCCATGCAGATGCTCTGTTTCCTTGAGTCATGCATTTTTAAATGGAATACTTCACCCATAGCTTTTAAAATTATCTGGCAGATTTATCTTGACAACACTGAAATTTTACTCAGTGTGAGATTTTACTGATACACTGTAATTTCTTAAATGATACTTGATGCTTTTTTAATTAAAAAGGCCATAATGTTTCAATCTCAATGTCTCCACTAGTGCTAGAAGACCTGAGCTTTTGGAATTTATTTCTGTTCATCTCAAACAAGTGAAACCTACAGGCAGAGCAGCTGAATAACTAAATGTTAAAAGACCCTATTTCTTCAAAGCTTGCCTTTTGATCTTCACATTGCCGCTGAGGCTCTGAATGCATCATTCATTGCAGGGAAGAGTGTTTTCCTATCTCAGCTGGATTGCATGCTGTTATTCTTTTAATTGTTAAGTGTCTCTTTTTCTGAGGCAAAGTAGATCTGATGGTGAATGACTGCCCTGACAGACACAGAGAGGCTGCACATACAGAGCTTTTGCTGGTGTTTTCTGTACTTGCATTTCTAGAAAGAATTGAAAGCTTGCGTCTTTCGTTTTTTCTTTGAAAGATCTGTTATTTTCCTGTGGAAACCAACACCTCAAGAACTTAACTAAAAACTGGTTCATAGTTGTAACCTGAAGTGATATATTGAGAAATACTTGCCCAAACATGCACAGACATTTTCACTGAGGAAAATATAAGGTTGGACAAATATCACTAGTGCTATTGGTTTTTGTTTTTAGTGTCTTTATATGTGCCCTTTCCTTTCCAGGACTATTCCAGGATTGTATCCTATTCTTCTTTCTCATGTAACATTCACTTGATGTAGCTGAAACTTTGCTGAAGTCCCTGCTGTGCACCAAGATCCAATCAACCTTGATGTGGGAATTGCTGTAGAGCTGTGCAGTCTGAGAGCAGGACCCAACCTGCAGAGCTGCCATTTGGCAAATTCCTGCCAAAGCCTGAGACCAATTGCCAATCTTTAATTGAAATGGGAGTAAAATTTAAACTCAGTTCTGATTCAGGTGAAGATGTGCTGCGTGAGTTTCACCATTGTAATGATGAGACATACTCCACATCACGCATGTGTGTGTGGTATGGAGGGTTATCAAGCAAGGAGGGGATTATTTAATTTGCTTTCATGATATATGCTTGTTAATGGCAGAAGTAGACAAATGCTAATTATCTAGATATCTTTCATCCCTATGTTGATGATTTAAATGTATCCCAGGCTGATAAGTGACTGTTCATTTTTTCTGCTCTGTTACTGGTGTCTGTCAATAAAGGATTATAAATAGGCATGCAGTTTTAACCTACTCCTTTTTTAATGAGTATCGTCAGCAGGATCACTGGCACAGCTGTTGCAAGGACAATGCATGGCCTCAGCTTTTCAGAAGAGCTTCCTTCAGGCTGCAGATTAGGTGAGGGTAAAAAAGCGGGTCAAGTTGCTTTGCCACTGACCAAGTGGTAACCTTTCATTGAGAAAACAAGACTGTTGTGTTGTTTATTGCCAATCTGAAAGATGTCACTTGTTCCAGCATTTCTAAATTCTGCTGTGTTTTTAAAATGTCAGTGTGATATGAACTCTTTAGAGCTAGAGATAGCACAATGTTAGAGATGTTAAAGATAGTACAATGACACATAGCACAATGGAAGATAAATGACGTATTCCTGTGGTGCAAACCACTGGCTGCCAGTGTGTCAGAGCCAGTCCCTGTCCTTATACTCTGTATTCATTAGTGCCTCGAGGGACACTTATTCACCTTATCTGTTTTGTTCTAGTGATTCACCATTTTTCAGCGGAAGAGAGGCACATGTGAGCAATAAAAGAGATGGCTTGCATCTTGAGAGTAGGAGGCCAGATAATGATATATGTGTGGGCCATGGAGCGAAACCAGAGAAGATTTGAAAAGCAAGACGTCTTTGTTCCTTGGATCCCTTCACCTCCTTCCTGCTCCTCGGGTGAGCCGTGCTCACATGGAGAACAAAAATCAATTCTTCACGAGGACAAAGAGCTGGCTTTGAACCAGCCCTGTCATAAGTTGGATGGGACTTCAGAAATGCACAGGACAGCAAGGAGCGCTTCCCCCTGTGGAGGGGAGAAAAAAGTGCCATGCATGGTGTTAGAGAAATCTCTGAGATGATCTCTGTTCTCAAGATCACTTGACTCGGTGTTAGATTTGGGTGATCAGTGGCACCAAGAAGAGCTCATTAGATACTGCAATTGTGGTGTTCAGCTGAATGAATTAAACAGAGAAAAAAAAGTTGAAAAAAACAGAGAGTGTGGCTTTCCGAAACGTGCTTCTGACTTTTTTCTATATTGCAAACCAAGTTTTGAAAATACAATAGCTTTTGAAGTGGCTGTTAAACCTGTGCTGCCCATGTCACGCTGCCCAAAGGCTTTCAGAAGTTGCTCTTCAGAATTAGGGCAAGCAACTATACAGCTCCCTATGGCTGCAAATATTCGTCACAATTGCATCGGAGTGTGTTTACCTGACCTGATTTCACATCAAAAAGAATTAGCTGTCAGACAGCAACTTAAAATAGACCATCACCCAGAACAAGGAGCTTTCTGCCAGCCTCAGAACAAAAGAACAGGCTCTTTTCTGCAGAAAGCAGTCAATGAGCACACCCTGACTATGCAGAGCCGGCAGCAGGAGGGTCCTGGTGGGGCCTGGCTGAGGTACCACCATGTTTCTAAAGAAGGGAAGTTGGCAGAGCTGATTGAGCGTCACATTCCTGAGCTGCGTATTACCCCTTCATACTTTGACCATGCCAATTGGTCCATGAACGCAGAAGAGACTGAAGTGTGGAAGATCTAGTGGAAATTTCCTTATTGAAATGCACAAAGGGTACTTTGAGACTTTCTTCCTTCTGAAAGCTCAGCGCCTTTGAACATCTTTCCTGAAGCTTTTTATAGCCTTGGGTTTGTTTTGGGGGAGAGGGGGATGTATGAGGAGGAGACTGCTTTAAAAGTCTCAGGTTCTGTGACTTCGTTTTCTTTGATTTTGTTCTTAAAATACATCTCTATTGAAAATTGGTTTTCTTGAGTTATTATTCCAGACTGAGCACATTTTAGCACACTGATCCCTTTTCATAAACAGCTGCCAGCAGTGTTTTGTTGCTTGAAAATAGATAAAATACAGTTGGAAGGTGATTGCTGAATTATTTTTCACATGTTCATTAAAAGTCTTTGTTATTCATTTATAACTACATAACCACCCATGTCAACTTTTTATTTTAAAACTTGTACCCTGCCACTTGATATAACATAATGCCGGAAGTAGTTGAAAGATGCACTATTTTATTACAGCTCACTTTGTCAGCCTGTATGATACTTCTAGTTGCACTGGACAGGCAGTCTTTTACGAGAATTATGAGGTGTATAGAGCTCTCATGGCAGAGACACTAACTCATGACACTGTCATAGTCTTGAGATCTTTTTCATTGCCTTGTAGCAGTCACAATCAATAAAGAGATATTTGCCTCCATATATGCCACTACATGACCCCACAAAAGCCTGGATTGCTCTTTCTCCCTGACAGCAAAACTAGGCCAAGTCAGAAGGATTTAATAACTCATTTGAACCTGTACAGTGAATGAGCATAGCATAAATAAGTGTTCCAGTGACCACTAGTCAACTGAGAAAATATTTATTAACATCAGCATCCAATACTACTGCTTTTGTCTATAGATTTGCCTTTTGCAAAGAAGATCAGGTTCATTATCTGATTTTTATAGCTAAAGAAACTGAGTTAAATAACTTTGCTTAAGGTTGCAATGTAAATATTTGGAAGAAAACCAAACAAAAATCCCAAGCAGCACGGCTGCTTTGCTAATGATTATTTATGTGCTGGGGAGGTCTGTCCATAATATTACTTCCTGCCTTTTTTTCTGTGGATTTGTGAGTCAGTAAGTCAGAGCTCAAACTTGTTTTCTGAGAAATAAGCCCCTGCATGTTCTTTACATGTCTGTCAGTAGCAGATACGTATCATGTTTTCCAAGATAGCATGGAACCGTACAGTAATCTGAGTTTTTAAATGCAGCTCTAATTCAATTTGGATATAATATCTGTAATCACATTTATTTTACTTCCTCCCATGGAGTTCAGATCAGCGGTATCATAGTACATCTTGTATTTTCAGGTGGAAAAGCTAGAGGGGCTAATCAGTCTCCTCCATCTGTAACAGCTGCCTCTGCAGTGCTCCTTTTTTCCCCTAAATGTTGGTATCGTGCAAGTGAAGAAAATAATTTTCAGTCACAAAATGTTGCTGCTGTTCAGCTCTGATGACACCATTCCCTTCATTTCGTACACTGTTCCATTGCCAGAAGGACTTGACAGCATCTCCCTATTTTTCAGTGCAGCTTCAGGGTGCCCTAAGCAGCAGCAGGAGGTTGCACTCCTACGGTTCAACAGGCTGTTAACCCACATAGCACACCAGAAAAGTGCCTTTCATTGTAGCTGCCAGTCCTTGCCCCAAGCACACCTGATGTTCAGTTTTCCTGGAAACAAACACAGGTATTTTAGCTGAACGTGACTGGTCCTCTTGGAATGTTTTAGCCTGCTCCCACATTCCCTGAACAAAAGGTGTTCATCATCTCCAGTTCTTCCCTAGCGTGCAATGAGCCACGACCAGATTTCTCCTAATGCTGATACCCCTAGTCTGCCTGCTCTGGGTCAGGTGTCCCCAAACAAGATCAATGTCACAGGGACAGGACCAGCCGAACTGGAAGGAATTTTAATCTCTGGAGAACGGTCAGCATCTCTAAAAGCAACCTTTCAACAAGGAGTTAATGTCCTTGTTTGGAGTGAAACAAACTGCAAAAACTACTTCTTCTGTAGCAAAGTGCTGCCTAAGGCATGGGTTATCTGATTCCACACGGGATGGCTTCCACTCAGGATGGTTGCCTCTGGAGGGTGCTGAGTGCTTTCTGGAATCAGAGTAAATTCAGCCTCTTGCAAACGAAGCTGCCCTAGGACAGAGGCCTGACTATGCAGGGAAAGGAAGTAAAAACATGGATTTGGTTGGATGGGTCATGTATTAATACTTCCTCACATTTATGCATGTCACAAATGTTCTGAAGCCATGAGCTCTATTTGAAATTCTCATTTTTATCAGGATGTCACTAGCAAAGCCAGAACTGAGTTCATTCCTGCATCTCTACATCACAGACGGCATTTGTAGTCCTCAGGGTAGGCACTACCTTATACCAAGGGATAGAGCAGCTAAATGCTCTGCACTCCTGAGCAGTGCTTGGTTCTAATTTGTTTTCCTCTTCTGGTCTTTGCTGTTCTGAGCTGGATTTCAGAATAGAAAGGTACAATTTTTCTTGCTTCATTTAGACATCTAGACTAGATCTGTATGTAAGTCTAGCTTTGTGCTCCATATTGCCTATGTGGTTAATAGCAAGAAATAGCCCCTTTAGAGGATGAACAATGAAATACACCTTGAGGAGCTGTTGGGATTAAAGAGCTCAAGTTCAGCACCTGCTTAACTCTTTCCATTGCTTGTGAAAGGAGCTTAGGGAAGAGCTCAGCCTTAAACACTGATTCGTGGATGCTTCAGTTCAGAGAGATGGATCCTACTGGGAATCTTTGAAGTTTTGAGGATGGAAGAATGGAACACAACAGCAGAAAAATCAGACGGTCGTCACCCACTCTGCCTTTTGGTCAAACAGTGCTGCCTACATATCCCAATTTCATAGGAACCACGTGGAAAAATTCATTGTTAAGCTGTGTGGGAAAAAAAAAACCAACAGAAAAAAAAACCCAAAAACAGCAGCAGCCTAGCTCAGCTCTTCTTTACAGCATCTGCCACTTTTGAATTTATTATAGAATCACACAGAATATTAAGAGCTGCAAGGGACCGCGAAAGATCATCCAGTCCAACCCCCCTGCCAGAGCAGGATCACCTAGGCTAGGTCACACAGGAACGCATCCAGGCGGGTTTTGAATGTCTCCAGAGAAGGAGACTCCACAACTTCTCTGGGCAGCCTGTTCCAGTGCTCTGTAACCCTTGCAGTAAAAAAGTTTTTCCTTATGAACCTCCTGTGTACTTGTTTGTAACCATTGCCCCTTGTCCTGTTGCTGGGCACAACTCAGAAGAGCCTGGTCGCATCCTCCTGACACTCACCCTTGAGATATTTGTAAACATTAACGAGATCCCCTCTCAGTCTCCTCTTCTCCAGACTTAACAGACCCAGCCCTCTCAGCCTTTCCTCATATGGGAGGTCTTATGGTCATTTGAGGCCTTACTTGTCCAAGGAACACTTTCAGAAAAACTTCCAATGTCTAACACAATCTCTGATCTATCAATGGTGATCACCTTTACAGACAGTGATATTAACTAAACCAATGTCTTCTCACTCTTTCTGATTTGCAGGTCCCTAAAAATTCCCGAGTGTTACAGATTTTTCAATTTTCTCCACAGACAGCTGCTGTGCTGGTCTTAATTTTTTCTGTGGACCCCTGGGAAATCACCCACAGCCATCCCAGGATCCACGAGCACAGCTTGGGGTGTGCTGTTCTGTGCTTGCCACATTAAGCCCTGTGCCATCGAGCCCCACACAACCCACGTGAGGCTGGCACAGCCGCAGCACCCAGTGCTGCTCACATCAGCAGATGGAAACACTGAGCGCTGCAATGTTTATCCTCCTTTGGCGTAAACAGGTTTGATGAGTGTGAGTCTATCATAAAAGATTTTGCCCACTGGGTAAATGCCTTTCTTCTAATTGTCTGCTAATTGGCAAACAGTTAATCCCACTTATTATCAAAATTCTTTCTCCAGAGAAAACTCAGCCGAGAGTTTCATAAATCCTCTTCTCTCATCCTTTTTAATTTCAAAAATTGTTCCAAGTATAATTTGGTAGCTATCACCTAAGGAGGTGTTGTGTTTGAGTTAATCAGCTCCTGCAAGGTTATCTGTGATCTATTCCAAAGTGCCTTAGCCAGCATCTTGCCTTCTGTCTTAATTAGTAATTATTGGTCTAAAATTGTCACTTACTACAGGCATTTGTACTGACCCCTCAAATTAAGATCACCCATGAAATTAAAAGCGGAAGAAGCCTATTGGGTCACTTATTCTATCCTCCAAAGTGCATTTAATATTCATGGTGTGTGGCAGGGAACCGAAGTGTAGGGTATGATTGAGAACATCGCAGTTAACTGTCTTTGAAATGTAAATACAATTAATGAGTATACCTGTCTTCCCCGAGGATCTGTCCTTGTCTGCTTTGTCATTTTGACTTCTTTCTTTCTTCTCTTTGATGGGGCTCCTGGTTTCCTTTCCTTACTTCTCACTCGAGACTGAGAACAACATTTTGCAGAAGGATTCCATGAGGTAAAAAGCACAGAAAATATTCCATGGATTTCTCAAAACGTGTGCTTTACTAGCATGCCTTTCAGATCTCATTGTGATCAGGACTGTGCTAAGTGTCACCTTCACAACTTGGCACAACAAATCATTTGACATGAACATACTATTGCAAGTTTAAAAAAAGAACACCAGCTTGCCTGCGTGGAAGCCCACATGGGCAGTACTGAGTGAAACTGTGCCATTCACTGCCTGTCACAGGCTTCCAACTAAAAGCATCACATTTAGCACAGCAAAGTAAACTGTCCTAGGCAAAAATGAGAAAAATTATTTGGGGAAACATTGCATCAGCCAAGAGCGAGAGCAGCACAGTAGGTCTCCATCTCTCAGGCTTCAGTTGCCCCATACCCAAACTCTGCTCTTTATAACTGTATACAGTAGCTTGTAAAGAGGTTAAAAATATCCAAGGTATTTTAACAGTAAGCCATGCCAGAGATGCCATAGAGCCT